TAACTTTAATGAAATATATTATGCAATCAGCGGCCAAAGTCTTGCATTTGAATTAAAACTACAGCAAGGCGGTACTACAACCATGCTTTATTAGAATAATTGTAACCAGCGAGCACACAGTCCACTTAATGGTAAGTGGATGCTATGCTACATACACACCTATATCTACCTTCAATTAAGAATCAGAATGCAAATGCATTATCACCCTTGAGGTATAAGTTGAAATACCTCAATTCCAGTAATCAGGGTCTCCGGTTCCCTACATTTACCTTATAAAACATAGCAAACTATATTTTCAAAGAACTCTTTTCCAACATCTAGACAAAGTTTTATGCGCCTGAACCAACATTTTGAACACTTTTTCTAGTCCGTCAAAGACGACTATACACATCCTGCTGGAACGCTGTTTGTGTATTTTCCTGCAGAAGATTTTTTATTTTATGAAATAAAAAGACATCACGCAGTGCAAAATTAAGGCTTTTTATAAAAATTTTACCTCCACACTAGGATTTTCTCCTGTATTGTGGGGGCAGTTTATAATATGTTTATTCATTCATATTTTACACATTTCACAAGGACGACCATCTAGGATGAACATTTATTTGTAGGCCATACTTACAATTTAATTTAGGCATTACATACAATTACTTTTTCCTTGCAGGATTCGAACCTTAGACCCTTAGTGATGCAACTCATTACTAAACCACTGCACCACAGTATAAGGATGGTGACCCAAAAGTGCCTACTTCTATCTAAGAAGTCTCTCTTTTTGTGCGCTGAGCGCGCGTTGTACTGGTGAAATATTAACCCGACTAGACACGTCTCTAGTAGTAGACTAGACAGTCGGAGACTAAACAAATCAGCACAAACTTTAATCAAAATAGGAGTGATTTCATCAATGCCGAAGGATGATTTGTTTTTAAGATTTTTTATCATGGTATTCATTTCATTAGTTTCTACTTGGCTTAAGAAGAGAGTATTTTCTATAGATTTTATTAAAATTGTTGTTCTATTTAAATTACTGTAATTTAGTTTATGTTTCCTATACATGTAAAAAAAAGTATTAAATGACTTCGCTACTACTTTAGGATCACTTAAAATATGTTCACCTGGTATTTTGTGTTGATCATTTCTATAGTTTCGTGTATTTTTGTCTCGTTATTTACGATTTGCCACACTACTTTTAGTTTTATTTTAGGAAATTTAATGAGATCATAATTTTGGTAACAAATAGAATATTTCGCCTGTCATCCTGACAGCAGTAGCGGTAGTTAGGTAACGATTTTGAAATGTCTATGTCAGCTATTCTACAATTGATGGCAATACGAAGTTTGTGAGTTACGTTGGATAATATGGAACCCCGATTCGAATCAATTTGCTACAGATGTATATGCTATTTCACACTAGTTGGCGTTACGTGTAATTTACGATATATTTAAACAGCTTTTGTACATAGTCAATTTCTTAGTTGTCGACAAAGAACAATAATTCGTTATGAAGATTCAAAACCACTGTGCACTTACTGTTTTCACATATTTATTAAGTTTTCGTTTATTGGTGCATTGTTCAAAGATTTTTTACTGTAATAATTTTTCCTTATCACAGTTTAAAGCTTCAATACCGTTAATTATTTCACAATAAATTTTTTAACTTAATTCCCCGATTTTTTTTACAAATACTGTCACGCATTACTTGTTGTTTACTTATCAATTTCGTTGTATTTTTTTACTTTTTAATATTACTGTTTATTATTTTTAAATTAATTAAAATTAAGAGCTAATGTTTACATGGATAGCGCCCTCTGTCAATTCGTGTTTTTTACTTACAAATTAATGTTGTTTTCTGATAAATTTTTGTAGTGTTGTCAAGTGTTCAACGCTATTAATCGTTACGATTTATATACCACCAATTGTCAGTCTTCACAACCTCGTTAGTAGATGACAGGAATAGTAAATTCTTGTGTAGTCTTTGATAAATTTAAGAATATAAGTTCGAACCATAAAGTATAAACTGAATGTCGCTACGAAATCTACACGAAATATACTCGTAGAATAATAAAATAATCCGCACCGATGTGAAATGCCCGCAGTGGTATAATCGTAAAAGATAATTAAGACCGATAGCTGCAACATATATGTAGCCGATTACAGTTGTTATGCCGCCTGGCTTTGGTGTAAATACTCGACGCTAATACGATAGCGAAGAATGTTATCAATGTATTTTTTATTAAAAATGGAATAAAAATAAACTTACATTTCACCTGATGGAGAGTGGCTGCTGCAGTCAGTGGACACCTGCAGTCAACTTCAAGCAAAGAATGCTACAGATGCGTCGTCATGTTTGAGGACTTAGGTGCAATGGCCTCACACCCTGTTATTATACTGACTCTCTACCCCCATCAGACTGGAACACAGTGGGGTTCGCACTGATATTTAGCACGGCAGAAATAGATGGAAGAGTGGCACCTTCACAGATGCATTCCTAAGCAGAAGAGGATTCTGACCACCTAGTAATTAAAATACACGATACGGATACAAACGTTCAAAACACTTGTTGTTAAAAGAATAAAGTATCACAGTAAGTGTGAAAATTGGTCTCAAACTCTTGTGCAATCAGTCATTAACAGCTACATAACATCGTAACGCTGCAATTTTATTGTGGTTGTAGCATAAATGGGTTGGCTTGACCGGGGTAGGACCACGCTCTCGCATAATGCCAGAGTAAAATTGTGCTTCGTTTGGTGATTGCACAGAACAGGAGACCATTTATACTGGATACAATGCATTACATCTCAGTCGTCAGGGTTGATAATGTATCTACATTTTGATTCTTAATTGAGGTAAACGTAGATGTCTATGGGTTATAGCATCAACTTATCATCAGGTGGATTGTGTGCTCGTTTGTTATCCTTTTCAATAAAATAAATAAATAATAAACAGTAGCGCAATTACAATTCAACCCTACTGTATAAATTGACGGTCACTAATCGCATACGCATAATGCAACGTAATGATATTACGTTATTACGTGATAACATCAACTTAGATTAAATATTCAAACTATCAGCGGCAATACTAATCACGATCTACACAGGTCAGCTTTACCACTGAATTCTATGTTTTTCTAGAGGAATAACCACAAACAAGATAACCAATTGAATGCTTTTATGGAGTTACGTAACACGTCGCCTGCGTAAAACTTTAAACTGCAAAATCAAGAGAAAATTTTAATTTATACCCCCTTCATCTTTTTTTTTTCACGGCTTCTAATCATAGAATTCTTCCAATATCATGTTAATACTACTCTCATTTCTATGTAAATTTCTTTCTTCGCCCTATCTGACTTATACGATGATAACGAAAAAATATATAATAAACTCTCTATGATGCGACATTAATCGATATTTGAACACCCATATTTCGTTAAACGTGGGGCAACTTTGCAATTGAACCTATGAGTTGTTGTATTGAGGAACTGGAAAAAGCTTAAGCCAAAGTTACCCGAAACCTCCGAAACGTGACGGTATAACCATCTAGTTTATGCTAAACGTAAAATAAAAAACGATTACGGAAGTCAAAAATACGGGGCACTGGTAAGCGTGGCAGTTACGGCAAATTTTTCAACAACGGAAAAGACCCATGTCCAGCAGTGAACTTTTACTGACTGATAAAGATTAAGAATAAAGCGGATCGAATTCGATTTAAATTCAGTTATGTAATCGATCCCACGTTCTATGATCATCATTACAGTCCTCCACAAGTACTCTACTATAATATGATCCTACGTTAAAATAATAATCCCTATGGTTAAAACAGTAATTAAAAACGCGACGGTGTCAAATGTTAATTAAAAACAGAAATCTTCAAATATTATACACACCCTATGTCACTTTCAAAACTAAGACTAATTAACGACATTCCATAATAAAGTTAGTTAAAAAGTTAAAGTTACAGCCTATTAAGCCCCACTGCTGGGCTCCGGTATCCTTTCATTTTTGAGAGGGTTTTAGAGCAAGGAAGAGTCCGCCGCGCTTCTTCAAGAGCCGTGGTAACAGATAGTTAGCGCTCGCTGTGCATTTCACAGTACGCGAGCATACCGAGTTCGATACCGGCACCATTGAAATTGCAATTTTAAGTAATGATTTACCACGTGCTCGGTGATGAAAGAAAACATCGTGAGGAAAGCTACATGTCTGAGAAGTAAGAAAAAGTATTTATTTCGAAGACATGTGAAGTCCACCAACACGCATTGGGACAGCGCGGCTGACCCCATAATAAGTATTGTATAATACATTAAGCCTTTTAGACTACAGAGCGTACCAAATAGACATACGACCAATACATAAACAATATTATAATACAGCAGTAATAATATACGAGTACGTGGATGCGAGAAAATATCATAACATACTTCAAATAATTTTACAAATGAGAAAGTCAAATTGCTACATCCGTACAGTAATTATATTTTTACTTATTTATAAGGTTTATCGATGATAATCAAATCGAAATTTCTGTAACAATTAACATTTATGTTTACACTAAATCTCGAGAGTGACCTATAGTGACCTATAACGGATGATTCTCATTAGAGCGGGCCGTGCACGGGCGGGGGGGCCCGGATGGGGCACGGTTTTAATCTGTTACATATATTTTGTATGAATCAATTTATATTACACAATGCATTATCCGTGTCCCGTCCGGGCCCGATCGACGCACTTCAATACCACGTTTGTTGCACGGTCCCGCCCCGCCCGCTCCACGTCCCGTCGTAATCCGAACACTCTTCCGTGCTGCGTCCGAGCACTGAGCGACGAATTTTTAGTGAGGGTACACGCACGTGCAAGTTTGTTTTACAGAAGATTTTGGAAACTGAGTTTCTTTTGTTGCAATATTATTCCATCCATGACTTTGGGGATAATGGATGATGAAAAATTAATTGAATAAGTCAGTAAGTTGTGTGACATGTCCCATCAAAAATATATGGATACAAAATTGAAAATGTCATTATGGACGACAATTAGCAATGAATTAAATGAAACAGGTGAGTATGTATTTTAATCTATTAAATCAATCTAAAGAATTACTCATATAGTTTTTTAGGGTTACGTTTCCTTAGGTTCTATATAAAACAAAGTAAATCATTTATTGCAACTGTAAACACACATATATTTATTAAACCACATACAACAATGAGAAATACAATCAATATTCGTCTATTATTCGTACAAATACTTACGAGTATACTCGGTTCAAAACGCAGTTAGACAAAATGTAAACAAAAAGATAACCTAAAACGTATTTTTTATATTTTACTAAATGTATTTTTTATACCTAGTTCATATTAGAAAGACTACTTAAGAGAAAGAAAACAAGATTTTATTTCAAATCTGTACGTCGTCGTATCAAAAAAAATTTGTTCTTTGTTTTCATTTTGTATCACTGCATTTTGAACGGAGTTTATTAGTTGTTTATTTTTAGATTTTTTTTATTTATTATTTGTTACGTAAGACGAGGATCTATGCGAAAGTGCTGCCCCCCACTAGAAATAAATCATTTGACATGAAATTCAATGTCGTATCAGTTTTATTTAGTACTTGCAACATATTATTATGTACTACTAGCAAACATGCTTTTTTTATGTACCTTTATAGAAAACTATAATACTTGTGATTGTTTCTTTTTGTTTATTTGTTATCTTTTTTGTATAATCAGTTATGGGATATATGTGTCCAAACTGGTATACTGTTTAGTATGGCAACCTGGATACATATAAATCCTATAAGCAATTGTACTTATTAAAAATATACGGATGTTGATGAAAAGTAGTTCTTAACATTTTCTCTGGCCGCAAATGCTTGTCTGTGATGTTGTGGTCCTAGTGGATCAAGAATAGACTGCCTTAATTCTGATATAGATTGTTCTGTATAACGTGGTGTAAAAGCCATGTCATTTTTGCTGCGTAAAAAGTTATGAAGTATGCAAGTCGCTAATATAATATTATCAACATTTTTGGTGCCATTTTGATTCTTCTAGAAAACAATCTGAATCTTTGTGCTGAAATACCAAAAGCACATTCAACTAGACGTCGTGCTAGCATTAATCTGTTATCAAAATGTGACTTAGCAGCACCTCCTACTATCTGGCTACCTGGGTAAGGTCGCATTATATAAGTTTCTAAAGAAAACGCTTCATCGGCTACTATAACGAATGGTGTAATAATATCCGTGTTATGTAATTGCCTTGCTGCAGGTTCATTTAGTGTTCCATTTTCTAGTCGTTGTCCTAAAGAAGACTTTGCAAAAATGCCACCATCACCATTTCTTCCATATGATCCAACGTTAACTGTAATAAATTTGGGGCATAACTCTTTTTAGAAGTACATTAACAATAGCAAGACACGTGCTGTTAACAATTTCATGGACGGTTGTATGAGCCAACCGAAAACTGAATTAAATAGTCAAGTAGGAATCTCCAGTTGCCAAGTATCTGAAAAACAAGATTTCAAATTTTAAATATAAGAGGACAAATCACATAAGTTTGAGACCTGTGTTAGAGGATACTTACTTAATCATACTGTATTAAATAAATAAATATTTTATAATAAATACATATACAGATAAACGTCTAAAATGCTGAAAATTTTTCCAACTTGCTCAACCGAGATTTAAATCGGGGACTTACGAATGGTAAATCGAGCATGTTTTTCCGTTTCACTTTGGAGGTCGTCTACTTAACTCGATTTATTAATCTATTTAATGTCTATTAACTCGAAATTCACAAAATGATCAAAATGTTATGTTTATGATCGTTTGTTTCAGCTACCGCTTGTAGATCAAGATGGACGAATATAAGGGACCAATTAAAAAAAATTTAAATAAAAGACAATTGAAAAGCGGCCAAGCAGCAGTAAAATTAAGGAAATATAAATACGAGGATGTGCTACAATTTTTGGTTGTACATTTAGAGGACAGAGAAGTGATGGAAAATATTTTTAACGACAATAAATCTGAAGAGACGTCTCAAGATTATACGAACACAGCATTAAATGAATCTCCATCATCCATTAAATGATAATTCAACAAACGTACTAAATTATACTCCAGCAAATTATACACCTACAACGTCACGTAATTTATCTCAACGTACAAGTACATTAAAAAAGTCAAGCTTGTGCTCGTCCGCAGACGAAAACGACCTCACAACCTTCGTCTTCATCATCAGAACTTTCGGCTTCTGCTTCACTAATGAAATATATTATTGATAACAAAAAAAACAAGGAGGAAGTTGATCATATCAATGCTTTTTTCAAGGGCTTGATACCGACGGTCAAAAATTATCCCCCTATTATCAACACTTAGCAAAAGGAAAAATATTCCAAGTTGTTCAGGAATTAGAATGGGAATGGTTGAGCTCTGATCCCCAAACATATACGTCACCAACATCGGGTTCAGTATCTCCAGCAGTATCTACTCCGACACCCCCGCCGCCACCGCCACCACCATTGACACAACAAGAGGATAATTCTTTATCTGTGTCAGATCTATCAACATTTTTTACGGAGTTTAATCCCTCAAGTGGTTGTCCCCAAAATCCGACTCCACGGGTTGAAGAATCATAAAATAATATAAATATCTTACATAATAAAAAAAGTTAAATAAATAATTCATTTCTAAAATACCTAGTAATTATTTGTTTTGTAATACATAAATAAGTACAATAACATTATCTATTTATTTTATAGTGATTACCTGAGACATACTGCTAAACGTTGTTTAGGTTCTATTGGTGTCTTTAATCTCGTCTGATGTCTTCTAAGAGCGGGCTTCAGCTCATTTAGTAAAATGTAAAAGTTTTCAAGTAAAAAAATTATCTTCATCGTCTGCTAAGTATCTGCATAAGGTGTTAAATTCTCTGTTAAAATTACGCATTCTCCAAAGAGGATGCACACTCCACTTTCGTTTAGCCCGTTTCTTCTTAATCCTAATTTCTGCTTCCTCTTCATCAATAGCTATCGCATTAGCAGCCATCTCCAGTAAAGAAAACTCCATCATTATAAAAAAAACAATAATCGAGAGTTATTCACATCACTACACTACCTCGAAGCGACTGTGGCGGCGTATTAACCCGTTTAACACTCGGTGTAATATAAATTGCGTAGCACGGACGGGCCCCGGCTCGCCCACGCCCTGGTCCTGGCACGGCCCGCTCTAATGAGAATCATCCCTAACCGTAACCAATACATATTAGCAATGTCACCGATATTAAGCTGGGTCGTGTGAAATTCGGTCGCAATTAAATGACATGACACGAACTATAAATGATATAATTGAGTGCCTGAATGTTAACTTGTTTTATAAAAGTTGTACGAGATTATATCGCACTTAATTTTGAATTGTTATTAGTCAAGTTTTCATTTCCATTTAAAGTATGAAATAGAACCAACGTGTGGAATATGAGTTATATGTGTACTCCAAACATTGGTTGTTGAACGTTAAATACAGGGGTTTATAGTGCACAAAAAAGCGCGTGTTGCCAGTGATGGCTTACGGAATTGAAACGTGATCCTACACTGCTAGCTGTATTAGGAAACTCAAAGCCAATCAGCGTGCGATGAAAAAGGCTGTGATTGGAATTTCTCTGTGGGATAAAATCCGTAACGAGGGATATCCTCAAAATAAGATGTTCTTCTAAAACATTGAGTACATAGCTCAGCGGATCAGTTAGCTGCTTAATGAGTCATTCATATGGTCAAAAAACCGACAACTGATTCAGAATAAAGGTTATCGAGTGGTGGCCTAGTACTGGCAAGCGTACTGTTGGGCAAATCCCTCCTATATGGAGTGATGATCTGATGAAAGGCTCATGCAGTCAATGGATGCAGGTGGCTTAGGAACATACTTTGCGGCAATATATGAGAGTGACCTATGTTCAGCAGTAGATTTGTAATTGTCTTTAGTAGTAGTTATATATTTTTTATGTAAGAGGGGCAAACACGTCTAAACAAGTCCGGTAGTCGAATCCTCAAGGATCATGTGCGAGGAAGAAAACTTCTTGTAAATCATACTGTGGAGGAGCGGCAATCATCCAGACAGTATGGATGGTATGGCAAGTTTTTTTTTGTATTTAGCGGCTGGAATTTGTATTATTATAAAATGAGATAAAGTTATTATTACATAAAAGTAAATTTACAGCGTATATACTTGCCATTGCTGGGGACTTCCTATCATTTTGAGAGGGTTTTAGCGCCGGGAAATGTATGCTGCACTACCCCAATGCGTATTGACAAACTTCATATAACTTTGATTTTTTTTTCTCAGATGGCGTGTTAGCGGGTATCGAGTACAGATTGTTCGCGTATAATAGAATTGAGAGCGAATGTTTTGGCCTTTAGCCGTACTGTGAAATTAACAACAAGCCCTAAGAAGTACTACGACTCAAAGAAATAGCGTGTGGTGGAAATTATGAAATACAAAACATACTGTTTATTAAGTAAATTAGCAACATTGAAATATTATTACGTAATTTAATGTCACAACTCATTATGATAATATTACCCACAGTATTAAAACGTAAAATAATTTATTTGCTTTTCCAACAATGACTCATTTATAACCTTATCAAAGATTTCCGTTACGTTGATCTCCTAATTAGATGAATGCTCGTTAAAGAAATTTCTAAATGTAACATTAATCTGTTTCTTTAAAATAGTTATATCTTGGAATTTATTAAAATTATTCAAAATTTAGATATAAGTATCATAATTCCTTGAAAGAGCCGTGGATTAACGGCAACGCCTTAAAATTTTACAAAAATCAGATTGTTTTGTATGTTGTTAATAGTTAAAGTTTTGAGTCGATCAGCGAAATGTAAAACCGTGTTTATTTTAAGTTGAATTTTATTATCAGTGGATTATTATATGAGTTGGGGATTGATTTATCATTCATTAAATAAAAGTTATCCATCTATTAAATTATAATCTGACAAAATATAATAATGCAACGGTAAACTGTATTTTATTCCTACGACTGTAATTTTGAATTCATCATATGAATAACTTTTAACTGACAATTGACAATTTATCCTTAAATACATTTTCTCTATTCAAAAGTAATGATTGAAAAATTGAGAATTATATAATAACTTGCTTTTAAAAGTTGAGAGAATTAAATTTGAACTTAAAATGTTAAAATATTAAATAAAAATTGTCTGCGAAAACAAGAGCCCATTCATATATGTTTGTGGTTGATTTGTGATTAAATTTCTGTTAACAAAACGTCGATGTTCATGTAGACAGAAACTTTAATCAAAGACATCTATCTTTAAACATCCTCCAATATCGGTTTTTCGAGCAACTGAATGCCCGCCGGACTACAGATGCAGATTCGTGAAATTGAAAATGATATTGCTTCTGCAAATCAAGTGAAAATTAAATTGGAAAAGCAAACTATTTAAGAACAGCATGCTTGTTAGTAACAAATATCCGAATATCGCTTGCATATTCTAATAATCTATAAGATTTTGGAGATTAATATGAAGTTCGCAGTTTGTATTGCCATAATTATTCGAGACTGACTGTGTTTATATTTGCAGCATAATTTTTTTATAGTAGAATAAGGGTGACGAAAGAGCACACAGTCCACCTGATGGTAAGTGGATGCTGTGGCCCATAGACATCTACATTTATCCTCGACTAAAAATCAAAACGTAGATGTGATGTCACTCCTAGGGGCTAAGATGAAATACCTCGTTTCCAGTAAATAATCCGGATCTCTACACTTACCATACGAAACACAGGAGTATTAAGCTGCTATTTTATGCTGATATTCTGTGAGAGCGTGGTCTTTCTCCGTTCGAGCCGACCCATTCTTGCTACAACCATAATATAGCTCGTCGATTCGACCGTGGAAAGTCCATGTTTGGACAGTATACCCAATTAAAAACAGCTTTATATTGCTTTTTTAATAAAAAAACTGTGTCCCCTATGGACGACCAAACGTCAAAGCTCAAGTCAACAAACGATCGTGAGTATATGGGCTACAGAATTCAATTACTGTCAAGTGGAATTTGTACTTGTTTGTATACTTCTATAAAAAGAAAAATAACTATAAAAAAGGAAAGCAAAAATATATTTAGCGTTAGAGCAAACAGTCCTCAGAACTAACGCAACTGAGGGTTTATATTTTTTTAATTTTAATTATTCAAAAAATTTGTAAAAAAGTTTTATTACATATAGATAAAACTGTGATTTTCTGTAAAACTACTATAATCAAATATTTTGCTTATAGTAGTTTGTTGTGTAATCATAATAAATTTTCATTTTCTGCGTGACTCTAATAGAAAACCTCTTTAAAGTAGTAAATAAAGCTTTAGAGTAGCCCGCAGTATGTACATTGTATTTTATATACTTAATTCTAGAGAAAATCGAAAAAACATCTTTTTCTCCTCTTAGTAGGAGCTATTTTTAGTGTATGTTGTTATTATACAAACTAACTAACTATCATTTTAAAATCAGCAACTATTAGAGAAAAATTGTGCTCTTGCTTACTTTTCGTTTTTTCCAGAATGGACTTAGCAAATTTTTTCATAAACCCTTACCAAAGTTATTATAAATTCTCAAGTCAAATTGCCGCAGCCTGCAGAAATTCTATCAAAACGTCTCGTCAAATATATTCAGGCATATTCGAAGTGGCAAACGAATTTAAAGTCTGTGGCGACGCTGTCGTCGCGCCGCAAGCGAAACACACTGAAGCCTAAATCACGCTATCAATATTCCGCGCCGCCACTAGTCCAACTGATCTTATGTGCTCTTATTGATATGGACACCTGCATCCAACTTCAAATAAATATGACTAGAGATGCGACGTCACCTGTAAGGAATAAGATAGAAAGCCGAATAAATCTGAACACAGCAGTTCAAGCACTATTGCTTAGTGTTAGAGTTAGACCTATTCAGCCGGACTCCTAGTCGGAAGAGGAGTCCTCCTGTTTCTAATTCTGTTTCTAATTTGTTTAAAAAACGTAACCCCTACACTAGGATTTTCTCCTGTATCGTGGGGGCAGTTTACATACATAAATGGCACAAAAGGACATACATCCAGACCCGGAACAATCATTTGTAGGCCATACAAATACTTGTTCCGTGCGGGATTCGAACCCGCGATCCCCAGCGCAGCCACTCATGCTAAGCCACTGCGCCACGGAGTTTCCTACCTGGTAGACTATGAGTACTGTAAAAACATTTGCACTTAGGTAACAGATCTCAAGAGAAAACTCAGATTTCATTTTGGCATTAATTGCTGCCTCATCTGCTATACTTAGTAAGTGTGCCGGACGGGCGAAACTCTTCGGAGTAAATGTTGTCGAAGATACTTCGCGAGTCGCTCACGTCCTACACCTATAGGTTCCGGAGGGTACTTTCACTGCCGTCTTTGTGAGTGCCGCTGAGATATTGTGGACTGAGGTTCATATCAAAATGCACGATTTATAAATACAAATAGCAAGGTAGTGGCCAGCGGTTCGACTGATTGATTAGTCGCGAAATTTTATAACTATTGTTTATTGACCATGGTTGTTTAACTACGGTTGTTCACTATTGGTTGGTCACTGTGTATTTCAAAA